TAGTAACACTCATCAACAGCTGGAAGCTGTTCTTTAATAATATTAATGAGGATTATAATAAATTTCATGTATGTGACTGCAGCTGCGAAGAAGAAGGGAAACAATAGAATCTTAAATGAAGGTTAATCACTCAAGATGAAAGGCAAACAAACAGGGAGCAATTAAAAAGAATTAGCAGTGAATGAATCATTAACTAAAAATATAACAGGATTTAAAAAAAAAAAAAAAAAAATGGAAATTAAAACATGAATTTGCAAAGCCATACACTGCACAGAGAAATAGAAAAGCTAAAACTTTATTCATATTATCATCAAGATAGGTGTGCTGACTGACTGATGCAGAATGAATGATAAAATTTTGAAATAAAATTATTAAAGCAGCTGTTATACAAATTAAGCAGTAACATGACAAACAGAAAGTTGATACCTTATGTAACATGAATAGAACCCAAACATTACTTATTTTAAAATTTCGACGCAAAGCATACATTTATATAAAATCAGAAAACCATCGAGAGATGGATCTAAAAGCACAAAAGGGAAAACTAAACAAAAGAGGAAAAATAAAAAATTTATATTCTTGAACTAAAATTCGTGGAATGAGAGATGTAAACTTGCAATTTAATATGGAATTTTTTATATATTAAGCTTAGCAATAATATTAAATTTAGTACAATGACATACTTACATATGTCTTTTAAACTTACAGATGCACAGTAAACTCCTCCAGCAAGAAATGAAATAACAAAGTAATCAGTGTGTTAAAAAAATTCTAAAAAGCAAGCTTTTCGGGCGAGTGGCTTTTGTAACTTCATCTTTCAGTGAAACAAAAACTAGAAATCTACATGAAACAACTATAACTTCCTTCACACTCCCCTTAATTAAATCAATTTACTTTGAAAGAATTAATAAGGTATAAATTTTTGCTCTTCAGCTGCTTCTCATATAATTAATGATCATTGCACTATACTACAATAACCCACTTCAATGAATTTAAATACACTGATGAACAGTTTCTTTCAATTCAGTATTTATTCATGTATAAATATTACTGCAGGCGAGGAAATAGACTAGTGAATTCACATTAGTCCCTAAAAAGTAAAATCAAGATTTCCTTTTACAGCCTCAGATCATTCTGAAAGAAAACTTTCTCCAATAACACATATCCCCCTTCCAAATCAAACACACAGTACAAAGATTTAAATTTAGAAAGATTCAAGGGCAGAACTTATTACTAAAATCTAACTATGAATCTTCCCTCTAAAATAATTTTTTAACAGTATTTGGCTGAGATTTGAAGATCTTCCCATAGTGATATAAATTCATGACTATTTAGTAAATTTAATGCAATTTCCTTACACTTGTTCAAATACTTTCCAAGCGGTATTCATTTTTATCATTTGAAATTTTATGTCCCTCAGTTTTCTTATAAGAAGCATTTTGCGTTTTTCCTATTTAATTTTTATCTTTATAATAATGATAATTTAACTTGATCAACTTGCACATACTTTACGCAATTAACTAGTACTTATGATGGCAATTCCTAAAATTACACACAAAAACGACGCAGTTTTGATATCTGCATAATTTGATGTTGCCTTTTGAAATTGCTTTAGAAAAGCATACTTACCTACCTATGACACACAAAAATTAGGAGATTTTTCACAATGTGAAAGACTTTTTACATGATAAAAATATAGTTTTTAATAATTAATTAACTTTAAATAGTTACTAATTCGTAAATGAAAGCATCACAAAAATACCTTACACATAAAAAAATTTTTATTACTTGCATAGTTTAAGAAAAAAAAAAAAAAAAAAAAAGACACTTTAATCAGTTTTCCTACAAATGTTATGAACAGGGGAGATTTTGCTTTCGTTAAGAAAGAAACTTCATAATTTTGTTCATAGCAATTGCCACGTAGGCCTGCTTTCACTAATAAAAGTTTTTTTAATGTGTCATCACTAATATTAGATCTAAATTTAGTCCTCGTTTTCACAACAACACTGAAAATCCTCTCACAATCTGCATTACCATAATTGCCATTACTCTCTTTAATCTCTCTCTTTTTGAATGATAAAAATATAGTTTTTAATAATGAATTAACTTTAAATAGTAACTAATTCTTAAATGCAAGCAACACAAAAATATTTTTATTACTTGCAGCGTTAAAAAAAGAAAAAAGAAAGAAAGAAAAGACACTTTAAACAGTTTTCGTACAAATGTTATAAACAGCGGCAGATTGCTTTCTTTAAGAAAGAAACTTCCTAATTTTGTTCATAGCAATTGCCACATAGGCCTGCTTTCGCTAATAAAAGTGTTTCTAATGTGTCATCACTAATATTAGATCTAAATTTAGTCCTCGGTTTTGCAACAACACTGAAAATCCTCTCACACTCTGCATTACTATGGGGAACTGTCAAGATGGCCAACATAATTCTAGACAGTTCACTATATTTTAAAATTCCATCAGCACCTTTCAGTTTTACAATTAAACTCCACTGGGTGTCAATCCTAGTTGATTTTATAACTTCATCCCAAGCTTTCTAATTGTAAACTGCTGTTATGCAGCTGTTGGAACTGTTATTATTACAACATTTATTTAGTTCACTTATAGGTGTTTGTCGCCTTCAATTTTTCCTTCCTTTTAGAACTCCTTTCAAGATAATAATAAATATCAACAATGTGTTCATCCACATTTATTGGTAAAGACGCTGCCCCTTTTTCAGCTGCTAAATTTATGAGGTGACAGGTGCATCTCATAATCTGCAAATCTGAATTTTCCTTTCTTAGGATGCCTGCAACACCAGCCTTCAAGCCTACCAATCGGCACCAAGTGCTAAGCAATTATACAGAGGGACTGCATTTTCTTTTAGTTTTAATAATTAGCTGTGCTATATTAAAGCCTGTCAAATGTTCTTCTAAAGTGAAGACAGAAAGTAAACTGCACTCAATTTCTGAAGACTGGATTAAAAAAAGAAACAGCAATTGGATACAGTTTTGAATTGGTATTATTGCTTCCATCCGTAGAGAGGCAGAACGGAGCTGTTTTAATGCAATCAATAACTGAAGATTTATTTTTCAAACCCATTTCTTTAACAATTGCACCTGTTTTGGTTCTTGCACTTGAGTATTTCTTAGCGATTTCACTATCGAGAAACGTTTTTCTAAGTAAATGTGCAGCGTGATCCGACGCATTAAGTGGCAAGTTGTACTTCAGTAAAAAGGCAGAGAACAGACATTCTGCATTAACTTTTTGGTCCTTTTTTTCCGAAAATAAATTTAATCCCCCCCAAAACAACTCATGTTGTCCTTGTGTTTTTGTGTACGCCACATGTTTGAAAACATCGCCCTTCCAACCTGTGAAATCGAAAAATCGCAACGACAGGCGTTATACACATCACAAATTTATTTAATTTCCTTTCCTTGAGGAAATAATGGAAGGAAAGTCAACTGAGTACGATTTTTGAAAAGGACACGAATATTTCACCTTTCTCGCACACATAACAAAACACGATAATTTCTAAAACTTTTTCTTAATGGCACGTGCACTTACACAACTCAGGACAAAATGAACGAAATAACTAAAGAACATCTAAATAACAGCTTGCTTTGTCCTCACTGGCTAATATATGCCAGATGACACGCAGAGGAGCTCGATGCTTATTGGAGAACTGGAGAATGACGTTTCTGAATACGTATATGCTCTCACTCACAAAGCAGAAGTTATCTGATTTGCAAGGTTTTGTTTTAGATATAAAATTCAATTGCTTTCAGACGTCAAAAAATCTTTTTTGTTTGTTTGTTCATATAACAAAGTATTAAGCCAAGTTCCATAAAAATCGTGAGAAATTTTAAGGATAAGAAAAAGTCGGGAGAAATATATTGTAAATCGGGTTGGCGGGAGAGTTGGCAACTCTGCATTACTATGGGGAACTGTCAAGATGGCCAACATAATTCTAGACAGTTCACTATATTTTAAAATTCCATCAGCACCTTTCAGCTTTCCAATTAAACTCCACTAGGTGTCAATTCTAGCTGATCTTTATCACATCATCCAAGTTTTCTAATTGTAAACTGCAAAATTACGACTGCAATATTTTCAGTGGCAACATCATCCTCTTTGACTAAATGAAATAACACAGGACATAATGTTCAAAAAGTACCTTATATTACAAAAAGATGCATTTGCTAGAGCAGAAATATGAGCAACTTTAGCATGCAAAATCACTTCATCATTGACTGGAAATTTATGTAGTATGTAATCACATACTCGACAGAAGTAACTTCTAACATGAAGATAAAACTAATTTTTGTCTTCTGAAAGTTCTACCACTACTTTTGTAGTTGCAGCTCCTAATACCAAATCTTCATCTTTCTTCTGATTATCTATTTCACCATAAATCACATCATATATAGAATTTACAAGACAAAACACAGACTGGTTTTACAAACTTTGATAAAATGTCTTTAAACAGATCATAAATCATTGATTTCAAAGCATGAATTTATGGAATTCTGCTTTGTAGATCTGTGTTAAGAACATCGAATGATGGCAAAATTTATTGTAAAAAAAAGAAAAAGAAAAAAAAAAAAAAAAGCAAAAGGCTTTGTTAAGGTCCAAAGGAAAAAACAAATATTCGTTCTTCACAAAATATTCTTTGTTTTAGATACAATCTAAAGAAAATTCAATTGCTTTCAGACATCCAAAATGGCTTTTGTTTTTTTGCTCATATAACGAAGTATTAAGCCAAGTTCCATAAAAATCGTGAGAAATTATACGAATAAGAAAAAGTCGGGAGAAATACATTGTAAATCGGGTTGGCGGAAGAGCTGTCGAAAATCGGGAACCTCCCGCCTAAATTGGGAGATACTCTGGAAAAGATATATATTACTTCATTTCTCCATTTAGTTTTCATTTTATCCTTCTAATAATAATTTTAAAATACAACAATTTTATCTACACATCTTACTGGAAATCCAAAAATAAAAATAAATACCTGATTTTTGCCTTTAAGCAGAAGCACATTTGTAACACGCCCAAAAGCGATACCTAAGTGAATAATGTCAGTTTCAGTTGCATCACTAGATACATTCCTAATATGAACCACACGAGATGGTTTTCCACTCTGTGTTTTTTCTAATTTTACCTGTAACAGAAGATATTAAAATTACATATTAACTTCTAAACACATATAAGATTTAAAAACAAGAGTGCTAATTTCAGCAACTACAAACATGCAAGAAGAGGGTCATTTAACAGCCAACAATATACATACCTCTGAAACTTTAAAAATGGGCATCAAAGCTAATTCAATTCTTAAAAACTCGCCTATTAAGCTACTTAACCAAAGGCTCAGATCTGTATTCCTGTTTTATGCCAATATAAAACAAATTTTATGCTTACAGAGCTTTACTCTCAGTAATCAAAAAAGTTACAATCAAACAGGTACTACAGAAAAGAGACAATTTAAGAATTTTGCTGAAGTATTTCATTCTTTGGATCAAGAAATATGCTTAAGCATCCATTTCTCATAACTAACACTATAAAGCAAATTATAATTTCAAAAATAAAAAGTAAAATTACACCAGACTTAGCCTTGGTAACTACAGACAATGTCTTCTAAATTTTACACAATTACTTTAATATTAATTTTAAGGAAACATATGCATCTAAAAGCTTCCCATTAATAAAAAATTATGAGTAAAATATGAAATTCAACTGATATATTACAAACATTGCATGAATGGCTGTGTTAAAGTGCATATAAAAATTAAGTATGAATTTAAAAAATATATTGTTTCAAATGAGGTTTTACATACAACTTTTAATTTAAACAGTTCATATTCTTTTAATTTAATTTTTCTAAACTAATATATGTAAAGACTTACTTTTTTGGCATCATTATTGTTCTCAGTATCATTGGATTCTGGGCTCATTACAGAGCCATTACTCACAGCACCACCACCCTGAGAAAGAAGTTCATCTGTTCCACGCTATAAATTAAAATAAATAAATAAATAAATAAATCTCTTAAATACAATTCATAAAAATCTATTTAAAAGAAACTTATGATTTCAGACCAAATTAACAAGCAAGGCAATTCCTCAACAATATTAATAATTGCTATCTATTTTACTTCAATCCTGCAGCTATAGTGCAGGACCGGTATAAAAATTTGCTTTTAATTTTTAGCCTCCTATTTTATATATATAAATAAACTTAAAGCATCTAAAGTTAAAATTACTTAATGTAGTGCTGTTTCATAATTTATCAATAAATTCTGATTTGAAATTCAAATAATTTTCAAATATATTATTAAAAATTGTTTTGAAAAATAACCAATAAATTCCCAGTAAAATATTTGGGGGGGGATCACTATTTTTTTTTTAATTAAACAAATTCTCAATGCAGAATGATATAATAATGTGTGAAGCTAAAACCAGTAAAGAATTTTTATACACGTTTTCTACAGAAATAGTTACCAAAGAAGGAATATCATATATGATAGTTAAGAACATCCCGTAAACACTAAGGTTTCCAGTAGAAATCCCCGAAACAAAAAAACAACGAAAATAAAACAAATAATTTTCTGCTCATAAATATACACAAAAACGAAACTGAAGAATGTTCAAGACAAGCTCCACTTAACCACACATTTCCAGAAAGATAAACCGGAAACTAGAGTTCCGAGACATACGCAGAGCAGGGGGGGGGGGAGAAGACTTGGCCGTTACATTAGCTTTTCCTCACATACAAAACAAGAAAGTGAAGTAACATTACCGGCGGATAACTTTTTTTTTTTTTTTTTATTTTTTTATTTATTTATTTATTAGATTCTTACCACAAAGACCCTATGAGTCACTAAATTGCAGCTTTCTTCTTATTCACTAACTACCAAAGGGCACATAACACTCAAGATAGATGATGAGATATTACATCACGTTGATAGAAAATTTCCAGGAGAAATTTCTTGAAAACACCTACTGTTCAAACCTCGCAAAGACTCACGGCAAAGAAGTACATACCCTTGAAACTCCAAACCATAAACGGATTTGAAAATAAGCAAATTACTGCCACTTCTCAAAGGTGTTCGTTCTAAGGTGAAATTATTTATATGGTATATTTCATTTCAAAGCACTCATCATTCTTCAGCACACTTACTCAATGATTAAGTTTGCATTATTTTACCATCATCTCAGAATAAATTCCACAGAGGAACTATTTATAGATGCGTCTAATACTTTAAATACTAGTTTCGTTCTCATCATATTTATAGAAAGAAACATTACACTCAAAATTAAACAAGCATACAGACTAATTAATTTTACGCAAAATACACTTAGTGAAGCAATTACTAAAAATTAACAAGTTCAGTAATCTTTTTCTGACCAAATGTAACCATTAACTAGCGCATCAGATTCCCTCCCCCACAGTTCCCTAAATGTTATACATAGGTGTTCCCGAAGTAAGGACCACATAAATATTACTGGCACCCAGAAAAACATTTAAAATTCATTGCAATAATGAAGCAGTGTAAATTCTCGTCAACACAACTAATATTACATACTTTTTAAAAAACATTTATACACATTTACTTGTATGTCTCCTGGCTTTAAGTTTAACATTTTTACAAATTATTTTCCTTTATGTGAAATATAATCCTTTTAAAGTAACTATGCATTCCCATTTAAAAAAAAAAAAAAAAAAAACACTTCTTTAAATCTCTACCAAATGAATTGAATTTTTCGAAAATTACGTCTTTACTTCAACGGGAAATTTGGAAAATTTTCAACTAAACGCAAGTTTGTGCAGGTGAAAAGTAGCATTTAAAAACAGCTTTAAGCCAATGCTCTAAAAAGTGCCGTCAGACAAAAGGACAATAATTTCTAAGACTTTTCTTGAGATATCTCATAATTAGATCAATATCATAATTAGATTAATATCAGCCGCCTGATAAATATAGTGGTTAGTGCTGCCGGCTGCCATATCGCCGAACTAGTGATTGAATCACCTTTTGACGTCTGGTAAGCGTGCAATGCCTGTACGGGATGGAGGCACTTAAAAATCCTGGCAAGCCAAAACATCCCCGACGAATGCTATTAAGTTCCAAATGTCCCGTCCTTTTAAAACAACATAGCTATTAAAATATTTTCAAAAATAAAAAACATTAAAATGTTATTAAATAGCTTAAGAGTATCCAGACTATCACTAATCAATGACCGTGAATTTTTCCTGAATATTATCCACGGCATAATACTAAAACTCATTACGAAAAGAGTACTGAAAATTTACGTTCTATTCAAAAACTTAAATAAATACAATAATTCAAACAAGAAAATATATACTTCAATTTTTTCATGTTTTCATGTATTGTTCAATAAAACTTACACTTACTGTTATTAACCTTTTAGAGTATATTTTATTTTGTAAAGCATAAATACACAGTTTCGAGCAAATTTTTGACGCCCTTAATCCCAAAGTGTAACATCAGCTTCAATGGCCAAGTATCTGCCGATTAGTATTCGACAGAGGATAGCCAAAAGGTGATTTCAGAGTATTTAAACTAGAATGTTGCCCAGAAGACAGACCGATACTGGAACTGCAAAAAAAAAAAAGAGAGAGAGAGAGAGAAAGAGACCATGAACGTCTATATATCTTATTTAGTATTTCAAACAGTAGCCTTATATGCGGTGATTAGTCTTAGCAAAGTACCATCCAAATGGGTGGATAAATTATAAGCTCTCTCTCTCTATATAAAGCTTATAATTTATCCACCCATATATATGAACTTCTGAAAGCATTATGTCATTAAACAGCCCTTTGTAATAATTATCTAGAGAGCTTCTAAAAGCGATACATTTTAAAGGGCTCTGCCATGTTTAGAATGTTCCCAGAAAAATGAAACAAGAAAAAAAAATTTTTTTAAGAAAAATATTAAAATTTCGCTAGCAATTAATAACATGCAATTTCTATGTTATCAGTAGCGCAGGTTCTCAAAAAGAGTCATAGCGGATGATATGTCACAATGTGTCAACGCGAACGATGAAAATGATAACGCTCTAAAAACATACACTTAATCTCCCCTTCCTTTCTTTTCCCCCCCTCGATTCCTTGCTCCAACTTAAGTGTACGTTCAAACTTTTTAATGCTCATAGATTTTAAACATCAAAATGGTATGAAAAACTATTGCACTGAATACTGAAATCAATTACAGTAAGACACACGCGAATTTTTATTCGTTGATTTAAAAAAAAATTACATTATAGCTGTTCGATTACGAGAAAAAACAGCAATATTTAAAACAATTTGTCTTCTTACACTAGCAATCTTCGAAAACAAACAAGATACAAACTCCGTACTTCACGCTAGCAGCAGCTGGCTTTAAAATAAAATAATATTTTAAAAAAATAATAATAAAAAAAAAGATATCAAGTATGGAAAATTTATGCGCCATATTATACTTTTTCAGAATATAATTTAACACCCATAGCAGATACAGAAATAGATATTGTATATGTTAAAAAAGAAAAAAAAAATGGGAAGAAATTTATAAAAAGTAAATAAATAAACCACAAAATATCTATTCTTTTACGATGACAGCAATTCATGTAGAATATTTTATTCGAAGTTTCACCCAGCCATTCATTTATCAGACATTAAATCTACCTGTAACATTCTAACATCGTTTCATAGCTACCGTAAGAGACCGAAATTATGAACCACAATTTCAACATTCCTTTTCTAACGCGCAGTGAAGAGACTTGAATTCATGCAACAGGGCAAAAAGAGGTGGAACGCTGATACCCTGAGGGAAATGAAAAACCTGTCCGTCGAGATATGGATCCACAGATTCGGCAACAGGGATGGGAAAAAAAAGAGGTGGAATAGACCGGTAAACAAAGGATGCAGCAATGACCCAGTCAAGCGAGAAGTGATAATTATTATTCCGTCGATTAATTTTACAGTGATGCGTATACATTTCTTAGGATCAGAACTGATAAGCTGAAACGAATCTGTCATCAAATTTATTTAAACTGCAACACATACACGTAACATAAGCAAGCTGTCACTTCATAATTTACATTCTCAATTAAAATAGATATAGATAGAGGAAAAGGAAATTCGGGGAGACAATTAACAGCAGATATAACATTAGGTATATAGATTATTCATCCCCAGAACTTTTTAGGTTAATTGTAAATTCTTGTCAAGTTTTATAAGGTTCGGATATTAATAAAATACTAAATTTTAAAAATACCGTGAATATTTATGTGAATAAGTTTTTTTTTTTTCTCTTAATCTACATCCCTAAAAATTCTCGCTTAACAAGCGTAGTTTAAAATTGCTAGGAAGTTATACTATCAAATGAAAAAAGAACATGAAAGAAATTGCAATAAATATTGCATGGACGTACGTGTACACATTAAGTACTTTAAAAAATAAAACAACCCTTTTCGATAGTACATCCTGTTCTGATGCTTTTCTTGTATTATCATGAACTCGTTATTTAATCTTAGTTTATATTCACCCATATACATTAAAAAACACAGATCCCCACATTTATTTTTACTGTTTATTTGTCATATAAAAATATATCACCTTTTTTTCAACTAAAAATACATTGGATACTACACTTAGATCTTAGCCAAAAGGCCGAATATGATATAATAAAACATAGCATTCCATTAATGACATCACGGAGATATGCCGATAAGAAACTGTCACATAGGGAATTTAATAATGACGGATGGGCTTAGAATTAAAATGACTCACCATTTGTGCTGCAAAAATCGAGCCAGGGGTGATTTCTAAGTTGTCAGCTAAAGTTTACAGCAATCGCAGAATACAGTGTTTGAAACGAACTCAAAATTCTGGGTAAATTTTGAGTATCGGTTGGAAACGTCACAGGATGAAGAGGCACTCAACAGATGGAAAGACAGAAATCCACAAAAATTTATGGATTCACAAATATTCACAGCGATGCAAAAAAGAAATCCGGGTTGTGACCACTGAAGAAAATCACTTGGCGAATAGGAAGGATCAGCAAGAATTAATTATGATGGCAGCATTAATATAAGCAAATTGGGAGTTGTTTAAATTTGAAGGAACAGTGCGAAAATAGATCCGCTGGAAAGTTTGTCAGAGAGGAAAGTGAAAGGCAGCAGGAGGGCAAGAGCGGAAAGGGTTGCCGCACAACTAAGTTTCATCGCCAACACACAGTCTGATAGACTATCAAGAAGAAACTTCATCCTGGGTGTAAAGCCATTTTCCCTCGCGCATAGCAATTTGACAGCATCTGTCTGGATATTCTGATATATGCTTTAAAAAATCTGCATAAAAATAAGTAAATTTATGGGGGTGATATTTCATCATAAATATTGATCACGTGGATCAGAATGTGCGACAGCTTCCAAAGTAAAATGGCATTTTAGATTATTTACTCAATTGAAGAAGCCGCATTAATCGGCAAAAATTTTCATAAAGCGCATAAGGCAAAAATTTTCAAAATCCATACTACTACTGGATAAAACAGATTTCTAGGAAAAGCTGTTTGATATCACGACGATGCGTACAAACAGCTTCGCGATCAAGATGGTAATTCGAATGAAAGCGAAACTTAATTTCATTATCTCGGTAACTGAAATAACAATATATGTAACTTCTATGCGCATTTTACATTGCAAAATAGAATATACTTTCATTTACTAAATAGTAAAACTATCGTATAAAGTAATAGACAGTTGTCACGTGTAATTTCCAGATTCTAAAATTTTCAGCTATAGGGTAGTTCACCGGATTTTTTTCCCTTTTTAAGAAATCTTAGTGCAAGCTTCTAAGGACCATAGACTCAGAAACTCAGGAAAAAAAAAAAAAAAACTTTTTTCAAGTTTCGCGAAAATAATAAAAGTTCGAGTGCTTCCCAACAGCGGAATAAACCGAGAATTTTTTAGAGGCAAACAAAGGAAAAACTTAATTTAGTCTGTGGAATTCTGATGATTAAAAATTTATCATCCAGTTCTAAAGAAAACAGGAGGATGAAAACAATACTTAATATCAAAAAAGAGCATGAATCTTATAATATGCGATGAGAACCCGGTTCAATATGTTGGTTAAATGAGCTAAAATATCAATCTGGTTTCCGCAAACTCAATATTCTTTCTTACACACTTTTATTTTTTCAATTTATTTATATTTTAATTAAAGATCTTATAATATATTATACACAGCTTATAATAAATAATTGTTGAATTGGATTGGATTATTCAATTATGGCAAAGCATACGAGGGCTATCTGCCTAAAGGGAGGGATGCCTTCGTGGAGGACTTTCTAAGGGAAACTGGCTCGTATACACGTTACACATAGGAAAAACCACGAAAAAGCCCATACAGGCAGCCCGTTCGCGGGATTCGAACCTCGGACCGAATTACCAGTGTTCTGCGTCTTTACCGCTCGGCCGCTGATGGGCTAAATAATTGTTAGTACTTACACAAACGTAATACATCCAGATGTCCCCCTCATTTGTTCAGCTTTAAAAAGCACAAAATTTGAATTTGGACGACTGGAAAAAAACTGCGTGAAAAATATTCTGTATAAGATTGCTTACTGAATTATATTTTAAAATATGTAAGGCCGCTCACCGTTAAGATCGTGAAGAATTTACTGGTACGGAAAGAAGATTCTGTAGAAGACGATTCGTTTCATTATTTTATTACGGCAAAGCAGAGGTAATTTATCTAATAGCTTCAATCGAATTCGTCAACCTTTCTATGATGCCATTAAAATCTCGAAAGGACTCAAAATGACAAATTTCTATCCCTAATTCACAGCGATAATAAATATCTCTAATGTGCGGCGACGTTATAGTCAAAACGGTTCCGCGATTTGAGCTAAACGGCAGGATAACTAGCCTATATTAACAACTACCAGCTACGCTGCCCGCCTTCGTCTGGCTTTTAAATGTACCATAAAAATGCCTGAAGGGAACACCAAACGTTAAATTTAAAAACTGCGCAAAATTTTTCTCTGCAGAAAACTTCCAAGGAAAAAAAAAATATTACATATAAAAAAAATAAACTTTCCGTTGAAGGAAAAATATGCTAAACTTTTCAATATGTTTCAAACAGTGAAATAAGCAAAAAATAAAAACAAAAAATTCTGTTCCAATCTCATGTTGAGAACTAAGGTTCAGATGTCTTTTTTTATTCAATTATTTATCAATTATCGATCAATTTTTTATTCAATTATTAAATCAGTTTTATTCAATTATATAAGTTTATTCAATTATATAAGCAATGAAATAAATGTGCTGCTAATCCCCTTATTTCTCATTTAATTAAAAAAATTTTAAAAAATTAAAAGATGTGCGACACAGGAAAAATATATTTTTCCCAGCTACACACATTTTTAACTAATCGACAATCATACACAAAATAAATAAGCTGTCCTAAAAAACCAAAATTAAATTATAAAAAAATTGATTTCCCTCTCAAAAATATTAAAACATACATAGAACTTTTTAAAGTTACTGTTTTTTTTTGGGGGGGGGTTAATAGGAGATTTAATACGTTGTATCGGATTACATACCTATCCTTTGGAGGGGCAGAGAAACGATTTTTGGACATTTACCCATAGTTAAGCTATAGATTAGTGTAGTCTCTGCTGTTAGATATATATAAAAAAATCTGATGTGTGCACCATATGACTTCCTTGTACGGAATATTAAATTATACACATTTTTTCCAGCATTTCATTTAAACTTATTGGATTGAATTAAATCTACTTCGTCGATAGCATAAACTCTTTAAAACTCAATTTATTTGTTTACCATTAAATCTAATATTACTTCGTCGATAGCGCATAAAGCAGAAAAGAATAAATGCACTCTTTAAAATTCACTATATTTGTTTACCATAGCGATAATCTGGCCCTAGGTTCACTTAACAGTGCTATATTTCAATCATTTTTTAACTTATGTCTTAACTTCAGGTAAGAAGCAATCGACCAATTGCGGCTTTTACCAATATATTGTTCCGGATTTGGTATTTAAATAGCTTATGATAGTTGAATTGTAAATTAAATGGTTTATTTCCTCTTTAACAGAATCTTTCATCTTTTCCTGACGGGCATCCACCTTTTCTTTCATTTCTTCTTTAAATGATGCTTGCCCAGCTTCCATCTTTTCTTGTAATGCAGAAAAAGCACTGATGAGCTGCCTCAATTGTTCTTCCATCGCTCTTGTTATTGGCATTCAAACTCCACTCCTGACACCAAAAATTGTTGCGTGCGTACGGGTTCGTTACGAAATGAATGCACAAATCCGATGAAAAATGAACAAAAATTTATTATTATCACAACAAATATGCGTAATTTCCTAAAATATTCGTGCCTGTATTACAATATCTCACAGTAGTTATCTTTTAACTAATCAAACGTTCAAGAGAACTTAATTCAAAACAGCTAAAGAAAGCTAATCCGCGAATTTGCTACAGTCAACAGGAGCAGTTTTCTGAATAACAAACTAAGTAACTACTACGAACTGAGAGGTTTTCCTCCTTTTATAAGATTTTAAAATCACGCGCGGGAATTTTCTAGTACTTTGTCGAAATCAAAAAGAGATATTTATTAAATGTTACATGCACGCGCTCTTGTATTTTCAATTTTCCGGCTTAGCTTTCTTTTAATATTCGTCACGCGCTGCACTGCGCGGGAAATCAAACCATTTAATTTACAATTCAACTAACATAAGCTATTTAAATACCAAATCCATAACAATATTATTCTTGACTTTACTAAATCTTGAGGATCAAGGGAGTTGAATCCACTAGAATGGAAAGTACTTATACACATACTGTGCTAGAATTCAGAGATTTTTAACGGAGGCTCCAGTGCCGCCATCTGTTGAGATATAAGTAAACTTAGAAGGTGTTCATGTGGCTCCATCAATTTTTGAAAATGAAAAGCTTCTTAGTATGCTGGTATTCCGGGGGCGTCATCTCTTGTCATCATTGTGAGGCATTTTTGAAAAAAATTTCATACTATTCTTTAGATAAGCAATTATTGGCAAATGATTATATGATAAAATAGCATAGTTTGCCGCAGTAAAAAACGGTTCACAAGAATAAAACTATATACACATCAAAGTCTATACCTGCTTTGTCAGGGAGTTTTTTTTTTTTTTTTTTTTTTTTTACTCAGAATGCATAAAATTTATATCACCTTTAAGAATTATCTAATCGTTGCCACATGTTCTATTCAAATACTGTAGAAAATCTAAAACGATGTATAAAACAAGTTAAGCAAAGAACAACAACAAAAAGAAACTGTTCTTCACAGACGATTCAGTATTTCTCATTCAATTAATTCAGTTCTCATTTCGCGACAAGGCAAAAATACATAAAAACTTAAAATGTCTGTATTGAAAATTATGAAATAAATCTTAAACACTTATTTCCCCCGAATAAATTCCAGAGAATGGATTAATCATGATTTAATTCCCAATAATAAAAGGCGTTATCTTGTTATTGGGAAGCTTACTTTCTCTAGATTGGCAACAAATCTACTATTCTGTTGTTTAAAATGTAAACAAGCAATGGACGGCATGACAAAAATTATTAGGCTTAGCGGCAGTTAAACAATTTTTAAATTGTTGATAATTCTAAAAATATTGCATACAGATTTACTACAGGCATAAAAAACCTTAACCGGAAAATAAGAACAGCATAATCACAGATCATTTTTAAAGCAAAAAATGCACAATTTACAAACATATAAGAATAAAGAAACTGAGATCACTGAGAAGAGTAACAGAGTGGATATAACTTTTTTGGTGCCGCCTATTGCAACCAAAATACGAGGTGCACATCTACATGTTATACAAGTCCTATATACAAAATTTCAACGTTCTGTGGCTACTCGTTTTTGATTTATGCGAGATACATACGTACGTACATACGCACAGGCGTTACGAAAAATTCTCTTTAAAATTAATTTTACAATTTTTTTTTTTGGGGGGGGGGTCTTTATTCTGTCTTTACGTACAATTGTCACGCAAAAACATCGTTAAATTGCATTCGATAGCGGTGAAAATGGATATTTGCGTTGAAATATGACGCCTGCAACTTTTCGCGATTACAATACTTCCTTTTTACAT